CACCGGTGGCAAAAGGAAGAGCCAGGACTAGAGCAGGATCCCAGTCGGGAACGTCTGTCCCTGAAGCCCAGGCTCTCACTCCCTGTTGTAGTCTGCTCACCTGTTCAGTACACGGAGGTCCACACAAGACCGAAGCAGCACAGGACACGCAGGCAGCGGTCCAGTGCGCTGCCCAGCCCAAACGTGGTGGTTGGAGGACCTGGCACATTCGGAGAAACTGCACTCCCTTTAGCACAACCAGAATCAACACAGGGAGAAGGGAGGGGGGAGCAGACCTCCCCCAAGGAAGGCCGCCCAGGCCGAGAACCCAGCAGTCACGCTTCAGGCGAACTCCTATAAATATTATTTCTTGGTTTTTATAAACATCGGTCAGCAGAGAGTTTGGGGTTTCACTTGGACAACCATCTGAAGTAGGAATTATATTATGCAAATTTCATGCTAGTCCACACCCCTTCGTTGTCAGCTGGGTCCTGATGAATCAAGCACAGTGTTTTGGAACAGAAGGCCGCTCGTCCCACAGGCAGGTGGTCCGGGGACAGCTGGAGGCAGGCCCAGCGTCTCCCCCAGAGGACGGGTCCAAGTGCACTTCAACACAGAGGCAATGGGCCCTCTGAGTGCAAGTTCCGTGCCATCCACGATGCCCACAGTAATTCTCACCAGTGTTTTTAAATGGCTCTGCTTACCAAGCACTGTCTGTAGCCATTTGAAAAAGTCTTAATATTAAGAGCCAAAAATGTCTTGAAACACTTTAAGTATCAAGAAGCTTAAGTGATTAAACTGCCATGTGATTAGCAACGAGCCTGCAAAGGACAGCCTGGCGTTTCAGAGACCATCTCCTGTCATGCTCTCTGGCGCTGCTCCGGTGTCCCTGGGGCAACTCCTGGTCATCGGTAATGAATGGTATCTCAGCCTACGGGACAATGCTTCCTATTCCGTTTCCCACATATGCCACCTAACTGAGAAAAATACCAGACTAAAATACGAGAGGAAAATATCTAAAGGAAAGACCTGTTATGTGTTTTCCCTGTTAAACTGACCACGTGCTTGGTGTCAAGCCCTGTGATTAGGGTCTGCAATGAACAAAGACCTAATTCCCGCCCCGGGGGAAGCAAACCGTTACAGCATGACCAGCGAGCGCCAGGACAGAGAGAGGGGCGGACAGAGCGCAGAGGAAAGAAGCAGACCCCATCCCACTAAATCTGAGAGACACGTGAATTTTTCCAGGAAGAGAAAGAGGTAGAAAGAACAAAGGACATATTTGAAGAAATAAGACTTACAACCACCACAAATCTGATTCCCTTCTCAGGGAAAGAAATTCCTTGGCAAGAAGGGGAGAAAATAAAATCAGATACAACGTCATGGTCGATGCCCGCACACCCTTTCCTTCACCGCGGTGCGGGCCTCTTTAAAAACCTCTGAAAGCAGAGGATGGCAGTTCCGTCACCTAAATAAGGCAGAACAAAGAACATGAAGAATGGGCTCTTGCCTGAAGGGAATTATTTTTCAGCTGCGTAAGAAAGAGAACTAATAAGGGCGCATTGAGATCGGCATACCACGGAAACACACCTCTGGCGGATTTAGGAGTTTCCTGTTTGGAGCCTTTGCAAGACCCCGCACGCAGGCCAGCTCCCCTGTCCAAATAGGTTGGAGGCACAAAGCAGGGAAAGGAGTGCTTTTCTCGTTTGCACGGGGTCTGCGATGTGGGGCCTTGCGACCACACCACAGCAGCATCTCGGGCAGGAGGCGTGATAACTGAACACAATGCTGACTCTGGAAAGGCTTCTGTTGCTACAGAGGGCATTATTGGGACGATGACTTCATGGCATCTGAGCATCACAGGGTAGCAGTAGACGTGCTTGTTAATTTCCTGATTTTGGAGGCTGTCCAGTAGCGGTGCAGGAGAACATCCTAGTTTGCAGGAAATACCAAGTACTTGGCAACTTCGGGCATCCTCTTGGCAATGGATCCTCTTAAGTCTGAAAAAACTTGTACTTTAATTGCTACTTTAACATACATTTGAGATTGTTCCTAAATAAAAAGAATAAAAGGAAAAGAAAAAGTGGAAGAACACCCCTTCCCAAAGGAACAAAGCAAGAAAGATTCAGAATTGTGTGCCTTGGGGGCCTCCTTGAATGCTGAGCCAGTCTGCTTTTCCCTAGACCCAGCTTTTTATCGGAGTCTGGAGGAACAAAAGCGTGGAAATACTGCCACCTGGTGGTTTTTAGAGCAAATGCAGGGCAGGCATAGGTAGGTTTACAGTTAGTACGCAAAACACCACATTATTCCTTTATTACTGTTTACTAATTATTGTACTATTTCCCATATAAATGACTGTAAACCTGCTTTTTCTCCACCCTGTATATTTACAGTAATGGGGATGGAGAGGCAATCCTGAGGTTTCCTCTGAATGGGGGAAGAATAGAGCTTTTGCAGGCGATTAGCTTTTGAAGGTTGTTAGAGAAAAAGGGAAATAGGTCCTTGAGCCACGAGGCTGCATCCGAGTTAAATCTGAGACCTGGAGCCTGGCTGGGTAGCACAGTTGGTCGGAGCATTGTCCTCATGCACAGGGATTGCAGGTTCAATCCCACGTCAGAGTATATAGAGGTGTCAACCAATGAATGTACGAATAAGTGGAACAACAAATCGGTCTCTCTCTCTCTCTCTCGTCAATAAATAAAATAATAAATTTAAAGTACATAGTAGAAAGTAAGAAGGATACTAAAATAAAATAAAGGTCATTGTGTTTAAGTTCTGTTTTGGGTCATGTGTACAGGATATAAAGCTTTAAAAAAAAAACAAAACAAAACCCTGAGGCTGGGAGCAGAGCGCAGATGACTCTGGGTTCCCGTGAGTACAGGACAAACTCTGGAATGGGGAGTTTAGGAGGAAGGGATTAAGTTTAGGGGGCACAATGATTTTCAATCCCCACCCCACCCCTGGAGGCTTTGGAGAGGATTAATTCTCTAGGACAGAGAAGAAATTGGAGACCACTGGCGAAATGTCAGCTGGCTCACAAGGTAGCTCAGTGGGAATTGCGCAGGTGCCGCTCCACACAGGCAGAAGGGAGGCTGCATTTCAGCCCAACACGCACCCTCGGCCCGACACCCTATTGGGGCACAGCTCTCCAATCATATGCAGGGGCCCTGGCTACTGGTGAATGTCTTCCCATGGTGGGGTAGACACTTAACCACCTAAAATTGTTAGTTTTTTTCAACTCCACTTCCAGAAAACTAAACCTGCTTTTAGTGTATGATCCAGCAATCCAGCAATACTATCCTTAGTATTTACCCAAATGAGTTAAAATCTGTGCCCATGAAAATGTTTATAGTAGCTTTATTCACAATTGCCAAAACTCAGAAGCACCAAGATGTTCCTCAGTCCAGGAACAAACTGGGTGCTTCTAGACAATGGAATACTACTCAGCGCCGAAGAATTGAGCTGTCAAGTCATGAATAGACACAGAGGAACCTCAAATGCGTGTTCTAAACTAAAGAAGCCAATCTGATGTAGGTGTGATTCCAACCACGTGACCTTCTGGAAAAACATGAAACTATGGGACACCACAAGGGTCAGTGGTTTCCAGGGGGCCGGAGAAGGGAATGAGCAAGTGGAGCACAGCGGATTTTTCAGGCAGTAAAATCATTTCTGATACTGTAATGGTGGATGCATGTCATTGTATACTTGTCACCCACCCCAAGCAGCCCTGCATGCCCTGCACAGGGACAACGTGGCACGTGGGCCCCCACCCCCGTGCATCACTACATGTCCTCGGTCCTGAATGCACAGTAGGACCACCTGGGAAACTTAGATCCCAGTAAGCTCATGCCCGTGCCTGGGCCGAGTGGAAGGCCCCGGGGTGGGGGGTCTGGGCATCCTCACTGTGGAGTCTCCCCAAGGTGACTCCTCTGCGCACTGGCACTGGGAACCACCAATTTAACTGAAGGAAAGACAGTTAGGAGTTTTAAGTAGAAGAGGAATGACTGTCTTAAAATTCTGGTCTTAAAAATGTGAAGAACTCTTAGGCCATGTAGTGTGGCCCAAAGGACAAGTTCAGAAGAACTTGTCAGACGAGATGACAAAGGGCCACCACGGAGGTCCACACCCACAGGATGTGGCACTGGGTCACACAGGCTGGGTGGCCCGAGGGTGGCAGGATGCTCGGACAGAGGGGAGGAAGCACTGTGAGTGCGACTCTTCCCGGGGCTTTGTCTCGGCAGGCACCCCACACTGGACCGCAGCTGGTAAATCAAGGAGGGGGCCTGAGCTGAGAGGCCTGCAGAGGCGGTGTCCCTGTGTGCAGGGGGTTGGGGGGCCAGAGGACACACTGTGTGCAGGCCAGGACTTGCTCCCCAAAGTCTCGTTTTGTCTGAAAATTCTTTCAGACAATTTGCGTCCACAGCCCCTGTAAAAGGTCCTTCTCCTCAACTGTCTGTGGCTAAGTGTAAAAACCAGAAAGAGGCCTCCCACCGGTCCCGCCAACCCTCTGCAGGGCGGGGGTGCACACTGGCCTGTCCCAGGTGTGCTGGCAAAGCGGGGGCCTGTCCTGATTGGCGGCATCACTGTGCCATGTGCCTCGTTTTTCCTTCATTGAAAAAACTCAATAATATAAAGTGTCCACCGTGACTGCACATTTTCTAAAAGAAAAGAAAATCCAAACGGATGGGATGACTCAACAGCATCTCGGAGAAGGCACATGCCTGCAGGAGGCACTGCTGACGCGTCTGGGCACCATGCAGCCACTGGCTCCGGGGAAGGGGTGGCGGGCCGGCAGGCGCTGGGCCAGCGTGCTCAGCATGGGGCGCAAGGAGGGGGCCGGCGCCCCGCCACAGGGATGGTGGCCTCATCCCCGTCTTCGATTCCATCATCTAGGCCTGAAATCGTTCCTTCTGAGCACTTCTACAAACAGGCACTTGTGGGCATCTCATACGAGCCTTTACATTTCCCCCACAGAAAAACTGACACACGCAACTGTTTCCTTCTCATAATAAAGCGACTCTCAATTAGCAATCACATTTTCTATATATATTTTTTAATGACAAAACGGTGTCACCTCTGTGCAACACGTGACTACAAACAACTGAAGACCGCTGGGTGACATCTGTGAGAAGGAACACTAGACATAGGATTACTTACAAAAGAAGCAACTTTCAGTAGAAAACTAAACATTTCCCTTGGGAAAAAAATTTCATATTTTATTGTTAAACTGGGTCAAAGGACTAGATTTTCTATTAATGTGGCAGAACAAGATCGAAACGCTCCCCAAGACACCCTAATAGCATGGGGACGTGACACTTTCGATGGCTTGATGGTGGCATTTGTGACAGACTGGTATTTTCTCTCTCCAAAGAAAATGTTCAATCAAAAGACTAAAATCATACAAAGCAGTTAGTATTTTCAAACTGGTGCCCAGTAACAAAAATTTTAAAACAAGACATTATTCATAGCACTAAATTACTGTTTATCGGATACTTGAAGAAGCTACATTCAGAAATGCCACAACAGAGCAGCCCGGGTGTGCCGCGGTGCCGCCCACGGCCGCAGAGGCAGCTGGAGGGGCTCTGTGCATCCGGCGCGGTGCCGACGCTTTACTTTCTGCAGGCCACGTATCTTTCGGTGACATTCTGCCAGTTGATTACGTTCCAAATGGCTTTCAGGTAGTCGGGCCTGACGTTTTTGTACTGCAGGTAATAAGCGTGCTCCCAGACATCGATCCCCAGCAGCGGGACAAGACCTGTGGGAAAGAAGAAGTAAAAACTGTAAATTTCAGTTTAGGAACTGTGTCTTCTCAACCTTTACCCTCCACATCCACAATCACCCTTCACAACATCCTCATCTATTTTTTGTCTCTTATATAAGCAGAAAATTTGCACAAGAATGCTCCCATAAAAAAGAGCTTGAATTTTACTCTGGAAGAAAATGTGACTGGCACTAAAAATAATTGGAATAGACCTGGGAAAATCAATCAACTGCAGTATTGTAATAGTTGCTCCTAAAATACCAACAGGTTTATCCAAGAGCCAGTTCTCAGCCGTCCTCACTGGGCATCCCAGTAAGAGAGTGTTGTTAGTGGGGGTGAGTGAGGACCCTGCAACGGCCCGAGTCCTCAGAGAGGTTGTACGAAGCCTGCCCTGCTCCCCAAGGCTAAGGTCAGTCCTGGAGCACAAAAGCGTTCCCGAGACACTAATGGAAAGAACACGCTAACAAGGACAACCGAGGAGGCCTGCAGAACGAGACACATAGGAGGTGTGGCCGGGTCCGCCCAGAAATGTCTGCCTCCCCAGGGAGGCACCCGCACAGGTACACCAACTGGTGGCAGTGCTCAGGGCTCACAAAGTGTGTGCTGCTTTTACAAATTCTGTGGCATCTCCTGCTCCCCAAAGAGCTGTTCAGGTTCTAGAAAAATCTGAGCAGGACCCGGGAAGAGTCATGTGTGTACAGGTGGAAAAGGCGGCTGCCATTTCACGTGTCACTTCAGCTTCTTCACATCAAAGGCCACGGCTCCTGCCAACTGCCGGATGACTGACGATTCTTCTTCCTAAAGAGTGTCTAATTCAACCCGGCTCAACACACAAAAGGGATGCGTGAGCCCTGACTGGCACTTCCAGACCAGACGGCGTCAGACTCCGAAACACGCTGGAAGGCTCCTCCTGGTTTGGCCACGAGAGCTCAGCGCAGAGAGCAAGATCTGGGTCTCAGGACGGAGGCCTTTCCTCACTCTTGCTGTTTGTCTAGCTCTAACTTTTTCATTTTACCGCATTAGTAAGCTGGTCTGAACCCTCTGTCCAATGAAACGGTTTACGTTTAAGATATTTTTATCAATGTTTCTAAAGTTACATGTGTTTATTTTTGATAAGTTTTAAGATTTCAAAACAGCGAGAACTTTTAAAGTGCTCTGGCTCACACAGACTCTGGGACGCATCTGTGAAGATTTGCTCAAACACACGTGCACTCATCATGGGCTCGAGTCCTGCTAGGGTTACATGTTTCAAGTGAAGTGAGCCCCCCCATGCACGTGCGACACTTGCAGTCTGACCTGTCGTTCCTTGCAGCGGGTCTTGGTTAGGACACGCAGCAATCTGCAAACGTCCTCGCTCCTTATTGAAACCAAGCCAGCCCCAGCCTGAGCCTTGAACGCCAGCAGAGACAGCGGTCAACTTCTCCTTGAATTTGGCAAAGGAACCGAAGTCACGGATAATGGCTTCCAGCAACTCCCCTATTCAAAAGAAAAGAAACAGAGAAGTCCCACAAATGAACAGAAGGCAACAATTACAGTATTTTATGACCCATGTGAAAGTGCTCCCGTCAGACAACACCACACAGAAGACACAACCGGACCCGCGGGCCCCCCCAGCCTGCGTTACCCTGTCCTGAGACCAGGGTCCCGGGCTCTCGGTTTTAGCTCGCACATCCATCACCGAAGCCCAGTGAGCAACTGCCTCACTCACTGCGCCACGGCCACCAGGAAGGAAGAAGAGTTTCTGTTCATTTTCCCACTCGTTAGAAGTTTTACTGGGACTTTTCTACCCCATCTGCTCTGGTGTTTGGCTCTTCTGCAAGGCAGCGAAACCTTTCCCAGCTCAGTGATGTCAGTTCAAAGAGTGACTTTCTCCATCACCAAACTGAGGCTACACTTTAAGGACTAGAGCCCTTCTATCCTGCAGTAATACAGGGTATAATTCTAGACCGAGCACACCAACTAAATCAACTAGGCCGGATATTCTCTGCTCAAAGTAACCATCCGTTACAAGCCCAAATGATGGACTACAGTGACACAGGATGGAAAATGACAGAGTGCCGATGCCCGCTGGTCGAAGAGGAGGAAAGTATCCGATACTCCGGTAACTCACAAAACCGACAGGATTAAATCACCGTCTGAAGACCCAACTCACAAAAAATAAACTGTCCTGCTTCCCATACTTATCCCCACTGGCCTTTACTTCCCAATGAAACTGCTGGTTTCAAGTGCAAAAAGTGCCTCTGGGCACACTCAGAAAACACACACTCGCAGAAATCTGAGGTGTGTTCCAGAAGCCCAGAAACAAGGCAGAGGAGCAATAGCTACGCCCCACACCTTCCTTGGGGCGGGGCGGGGGGGCGGCGAGCAGAGCACCTGCACGCAGGCCACACGGAAGCAGAGTGAATGAGGACAGCGGGCCGGACTGTCAGCTCTACGCTCCCGCATCACCTGCAGCAAGCAGGAGTCTCACCTGGGAAACCTAACTTTCTGGGACAACTGACAGAATTCTTATCACTCAGAACGAGCAGTAAAATAAGAGCAAAAGGCACTATTCTAAGCACGTGATGGTTAATAACTTATTTAATCCTCAAAACAGCCCTATTATCATCCCTGTATCACACAGATGAAGAGCGTAAGGTATAGAACAAATGGTTTTGTATCCCGCCCCAGGTCCTAGAGCCAGGACGGTCTCTTCTGAACCCGGGTTCTCGGTCTTTCCCTAGTGGACAGCGCCTCACACTTCAACCCCAGGTCGACACCATGACACCGTGTGTGTACAGTGTCTCCCAACACAACCCCCCGCACGCACTCTCCATTCTGACCGATGTCCCTTTGAAAGTCACAGCTCGCCTGTCCCCCCTGCTACGAAGACTATGCCATGATGACGCCCCAAGAGAATCAGGGTAACGTAAAAAGACCCGAGTCGCCCCGTGCTGCAAGATGCCTCTCAGCACCAACGGACACCAACCTGTGGGCTCCCCGCCGCCGTGGGGGCTCAGGTTTGTCCAGAAGATGCTGTGATTGATATGGCCTCCGCCGTTGAACTTCAGCGCAGACTGGAGAGAGATCTGAGTTGTGACGTCACCTGAAATGTTAAAAGGCACGTACATTTTTTTAAATTCTTACTTTTTCAGCCATTCTATACACTATTTCATTCTTTGTAGAATGTCAGGTCATTGGTGTAGTTTCTCTACAGCATCCTATAGGTCCTAAAATTCTACAATTTCAGGACTCTACACCACACAGGCCTTTGCAAAATGATTTGTCCCAGTGGACTTCAGGTGCTAAGCGACACGCTGAACAACTAGAGGGAGGCCCAGCAGTGGGGGCAAAGCAGCAGCAAACTCACTCCCGAGCTGCGAGGAGCCAGAGTGTCCTCAACACGAACACAAAAAACAGTGGAACGCTGAACTGTGTGGCCCCACGCACAGACTACGGAACACTGACTTGCATCTTTCACTTTCTAGGTAGACAACTATTCACCGGGAACTATCTCAACATTACGTTAACAAGAAATGCAACAGAGTCAAACCTGAACTCCTGATTTTCAACCCCAAACCGCTCCTCCTGTGGGCTCCCCTGCATCAGGAAGGGCCAGCTGTCTTCTCAAGAGGTTTTTGATGACTGGGTCATCTCTGACTCCTTTCCCTCACGCCCCACATCTACCAGCACATGTCCACCAGCGAGGCCAGCTCTCCCTTTTACATACACGCACAGGATCCAACCCCTTCTCGGGACACCTGATGCAGACCAGCAGCACCCATCCCCCCGCCTCTAGGCCCCAGCATTCCTGCCACCCCCTCTGCCCCTGACAGTCTATTTTCAACAGAGTGGCCAGGGGACTCCTCTACACCCTGCACTGACCAACGCTCTTCTCAGCATGAACCCCCAGTCCCTCCAGTGGGCTACACACCCACCACAGGAACCTCTGCAACCCCAAGCTGGCCCAGCTGCAGGCTCAGCACGCTGTCAGTTTAGGGTCCCCACAGCTTCCTGTGTGGGACCACTCATCCCCCGAGGCAGGCTCGTGCTTCACTCTCTCATCTCTCCTTCAAGTTTCTGCACTGCAAACTTTACTGGGTAGGGAGTTCCCCTACTTTTTCTCCCTATACTCCCTGCCATACTACGCATTTACTTGTTCTCCTGTCTCCCCACCAAAATAAAAGCTCCAGTGAGGACAAGGACTTTCATGCACTGCTGTGACCAAAAGCCCAATATATTGCCTTGTGTGTAGCAGACACTCAATAAATGTCTGTTGATTGACTTGAATATATTGAATAACTGAATATATATATCGATAATTGAATATATTGAACGTAGTTTCCAAGGTAAAAAAATTCTCTCACACCTGTAGCACTTAAAACAAAATGTCACATTTGAAGACATTTTTTTCCTACCTTGCTTAACAAGTAGGCAAAATATTTTTATATGCCTTCTAGAAGCTACGGATGAAGTGAACTATCATATAACAGTGGGAATTCCCTTGTTAAATGATTATCAAGTGTTTATTATTCACAAGATAGCAATCGACAAAATGAAGGGCACAGAGAACCACTGAGGATGCTGCTCAGAATGTGCATAACAGAACAGGCCCTCTGCTGCTGGTCTCCAGGCGCAAACAGTTCATGCGCAAGACACACGACCGTTTCCTTACACAAGGCTGACCCGCCAGCTGGTCAGCAACTCACAGAGGAGGGGACCACATGGTATCTGAACGCACTGTTGATCTTTGAAAGTGTTTTCTAAGATGCCAGCTTTCTGATGTTATGTTTATAAAATAACTTTCTCACAAATCAGTGTCTCCCTTTATTCATTTTTCTTGAAAAGTCACGCTAAAAATAAATTTAAGTTTATTAACTGTGTTTTAATAAGTCAACAGTAACTACAGTTTTCTAATGAAAAAGTAACATACTTATTAAGAATTAGTTAAATAATTTCGATCTCTTGAGGTTTAGCTAATCGTTTTTAATTGTAATAGCAATTTGGAGGGCGCGGGATCTGCTTTGAAGGACATTTTTCTGTCGCCCTGGCCGGGTGGCTCGGTTGGAGCATCACCCTGCTCACCAAAACTTTTCTGAAGTTCAACTTTTCCTCTGGTTTCAGTTCATTTTTTTTCCATTCTGTTTAACACAATAAAAGTTCAATAAGTTTGTTACTTACATTTGATGAGATGGATGATGTAATTTTACTTCTACTCCTTCAACCCCAAATTTCAAACATGAAAATTCAGCTCTTTAACAATTTTTAAAATATAGCTTTTTAGAATAAAGACACTCTGCAGGTACTTAATAATTAGTGGGCAGTACAGAATATAATGTAAAGCTTTTTTTTCCCCCCAGTGGCTTTCATTAAACGAGTAAATCGCTGAATCGCTGCTTCAATTGCACAAGCAAAGGAGAGAAACTAAGCTATTCTGAAGTTACTGAAGAGAGGTTTAAAGGTGTCAGATGTCCTCAAGTAGGAAATACTTTCACAACTGGGATACTCCCCAGCCTCTCTATTACCACAGCCTTCCCGCATCTGTTGTGTCCTAAGTCACCAAAACTTTTCCCGTCTGCACAGACTCCCCATCTGAGGTTTCTGAGTGTCAGAAGTAAAGACTCCAAAATGTGGCAACTTCCTCTTGTTTTTGTTTTGCTATTTACTTCATCCACGATCAGGGTGAAATACTGAATTTCTCCACTAGGTGTCCCCAGTCAGCAAAATTTCGCTGTCAAAAATTCACTCTACCAATTTCATAGGACTGACATTCAATAAAAATACGTATATTCCAGAAAAAAATACGTTTTTTAAACTGTGAAGCTCATGAAGCCATACCTGCCAATTATTTGGAATGCGATTGCCAATCATTTCCTCTCCAGAAAAAAATACGTTTTTTAAACTGTGAAGCTCATGAAGCCATACCTGCCAATTATTTGGAACGCAACTGCCAATCATTTCCTCTGCAAACCACTGCTTAAACTAATAGGCTGAAGAGTGTAATCTTTTTTGCATAGACATATCAAGGCATAATATTCCCACACACACCGCCAGATGCAAAACACAAAAAATCCACGTTACCGGTTTTGTCAACTGGGCTCTTTTAAAAAAAAATAGTAACTCCATATGTTTTTGTTGAATTCTAAATATCAGTAAACAAATACAAGCCTGTTCCAGGCTCCCACAAATGGATATTTCCCTTGTGGATGTCAAGAATACATGGAGTGATCTACCAAACGGAGGAGCGTCTCCTTGTGGAAACACACCTGGCCGTCAGCTTCCCCGAGTGGAGAGCCGGCACCTACCCTTCTGCAGTGCATCCAGGTACTTTTCCTCGGTGACGTTCAGGTTGTTCACGTAGGCCGCGTGGTGCTTGCTGTGGTGAAGCTCCATGATCTGGGCGTTGATGTGAGGCTCCAGGGCGCCATAGTCGTACGGCAGGTCAGGGAGTTTGTGCTTCTGCCTGGAGCCCAGAGACCCCAGGGCTGGCGCCAGCTTCCGGCTCGTGCTGGGAAGACAAACACAGACCGATCCGCTCATGCACGCAGTCGGCTTCACACGCGCTGGTCTGCGCAGACCCGGCTGCGGGACAAGCGGCGCACCTGGGCCTTTGCCTGGTTTGCCTGTTGTCTCGCCCGTCACCTTCTTTAAACTAACCCTGCTGTCCTGCGTTCGGCAGCACCTGGACGCGCTCAACGCACACCTGCCTTCGTGCAAGGCCGCCCGCCGCTCCCCGCCACACCTGGGCCCAGAAAGTGCCCTAGACCCTGCCGGGACTCGGCCCGGCAGCTGCAGGAGCGAGACGTCTCTCGCCTAAGGAGAGAGACGACTGCGGAGGCGACACCCCGCCGTCCCCGCTGAAGCCCCCTCCACCCGACCTTCTACCCCTTGGGGTAGAGGCCGTGTTCCCGCTGCGCGGCGCAGATGGGCTCCTAACCTGTACGCTGCGCGGGACAACATGGTGACGGCGACCGCAGACCTCTCCGAGTCCGGCCTCTCCGAGGTCAGCCACACCGCGCTGACCGCTCGGAGTGAACCGGCGACCCGCGCTGCGCCGCAAGGGCAATGCCGCCCGCCGCGGGCTCCGCCCCCTGATCGCCACTCCCACTAAGGGGGGTATGCTGCCCCGTGGGCTACCACGCCCCAACCCAGCCCGGGTCCTGGGCTCAGGGGCCCGAGAAGGAGGGTCGCAGACACCTTCTCCAGTGGGCCGCGGGAGCCCCGGTGCCTATCTGCCATGCTTCCCTACGTGTCACCAGGAGAAGGCCGCTGTTCCCCCCCCCGCGGTGTCAGATGGTACGGTCTGCATCTCGTACTGCGTCGGAACCGCCCAGCGGGTCCGGGCAGGGGAGACGGGATGGTGGGGTCTGTAAGTTCGTCCCCGCCCCTTCCCTGGTGTCCGAGCTGGGGCAGCCCCGTGGTCAAGTGACTTTCCCGAAGGAGAGACACCTGTTTCCCTGAACTGCGTTGGCGCGATCGGGCGCGTTGGTGAGGAGGGTGGGTCCAGGTTGCTGGGAAGTTGTAGGGCCATTGCGCTCCCCGCGCCAACCAGGGCCGCGAATGGCCTCTTTCCGAGAAAAGTGACCTTGGGACCTCCTGCAGGCCTGAGCCAGGCGGAGGGCCGTTATTGAACACCTAAGAGGCCAGGGACTGCGTGCAGGGTTCCCAGACGTTTATCTCTATTTCACCGGGAGGATAGGTACCATCGACTCCAGCCTACAGCTAAAGAGTTCACGGAGGTTAAGCAGGTTGTACCTGTCACACAGTAAAAGAGTCAAGGTTAGAACTCGATGTTCACACTTTTTGAGTACTAAGACCTACCAGTCTTGAGTATTTGTTAGGTGTGACTTAACCGCTGGGAAAATATAAAGAAATACATCAGAGGATTCTTTCTTATAGTGCCTTATAATCTAATAAGCTGTATCAAATGCTTTCTCAACAATTAAAAAAATTCCTGAGTTGTGTGAGCCCTCCCCATATAGAAGTTAGGACAGTTTTAACACTGTTATCCGCCTGAGTTGGGCCCTTATTGAATGGAATAACATAAAAGGAAATAGATAGTAGGTGCTTAATAAAGAATTTCCCCTACGGACAAGATAGCAGAAGGGGTGGGCAGCGCGAGGGAGGTGCTGGAGTGACTGCTTTCTCACCAGGATCTCGCCGCCTCGTATGTTACCAAATTGCCGCCACTTTCACTGGAAGTTATCACCAGACAAGCCACAATTAACATAGATACAATTTGGTCTTGTAGCTGATGGGGAATCCAGTTGTGAAAGCTATTTTTGGAGGTCACACTGTCCCAGTCAAAAATGAACTAGAAATAAATATTACAATCAAACTCGGATATGCTAATGCAAAGGTTTATAAACTTGATGACTCAGGTTGTCCTCAGCAGAATGTTACAGATCCTGTGGAAGTAACCTGATGAGTTTCCTACAGACAGCCCAGGGACCAAAGGGAACTGCAGGTTAGCCAGGCACGTTTCCCTTGTCCATTGCCCTGGCCAGGATATTTTGATGGCTACTGTGCTGAACGGGGCAGCAGATGAATGTGGCTCTTCGATTGATAGCTGGTCGTGAGTCTTGTCCTCAGCCTCAGACTTCTAAACACCTGGCTGCTATAGAAATTGTGACACTAACATATATTTTGATTCTAGAAAATAAAATTGATTTGGTAAAAGAAAGCCCGGCCAAAGACCAATATGAACACACCCTTGCCCTTGTATACAAGGCACAGTAGTAGCAGAAGGAGCACCTGTTTTCCAATTTCTGCTCAGCTGAACCACAATATTGAAATACTTGTTATTAGATCCTTCGACGTCAACAAACCTTAAGCCGATCTTAGGGGAGTGTAGCTGGTCAGTGGCAGTATTCTAAAAGGAGTGTCAAAGGTGGCCCAGGGGGTAGAGGTCAGGCCTGGTATTTAACCTGTCATGCTTAAAATAGGGTCTACAATAACGGCATAAATCGGCATAATGTGGGATTGAATCCACCAGAAATTGATAATTCCCAAATAATGTCTAACGTTTATATCAAGGAAGGATTGAAATGAAACTTCGCTACAACTAGCTTCTGCTGTAGCACGGATACCACCAAACCTGCTTGCAATAGAGTTTTTCTTCTTATTTTCATCATTCATCTTTGGGTAGCTGTGGGCTTGAAGGAATGTTATAGTACTAAAAACTGGAAGACACAAATTCCTGAAGACCAGCTTCCCTTTGCCTCATATTTCATGTTGCTTTATCACCACAATTTTGAGTGAAAAGAAATTAATTGGCTCAAATAAAATTATCCTTTAAAGCATGAAAAAAAAAGAACAAGAATTTCACTTGTTTTCTTCCACCTCTTGCACAACCTCTAAGGGTGATGACTAGGTCTGGATGAGGGAATAGCAAGGGGAACTACCCAGAGTGATTTCCCAGCAAGTGGGCTAGGGCTTGCCAGCAGTGAAGAGAATGCAACCCAAGGGTGTGTTTCGGTGAAGGAGGAAACTTGGGTTGAAAGCAGATTATGGATGTTCTTAAAACAGACATATGGTTGGTAACAGGAAATGGAGAAGCACTTTAGCTGAACACATCAAAAGTAGTTTTTCAGGCAAAATAGGGCAGCATTAATATCACAAAGGTCTGGCTAGTGAGGAAGCTGCTGTATGAAACCTAGCACGAGGTATCCAGAGCCAGTTTTAGGGTACCAGCTATGAAAGCTGGAAGAAAAGGGATTCTGAAGGATGGAATATAGGAATTCAGTGACAGATCAGTCACTAATAAAAGGGCTTGGTCTAGCTGTGGCTGGTGTGGCTCAGTGGATTAAGTACTGGCCTGCCAAACCAAAGGGTCTCCAGTTCGATTCCCAGTCAGGGCACGTGCCTGGGTTGGAGACCAGGTCCCCCCAGTAGAGGGTGTGTGAAAGGCAACCACACATTGATGTTTCTCTCCCATTCCTTCTCCCTCCCTTCCCCTCTCTCTAAAAAATAAATAAATATGTTTTTAAAAATAAAAGGGCTTGATCTAGTGAGAACAACAAACACATCACTCTCAGGAGACTACCCAGTCAGAAAGCAGTGATGTGCTTCTTGTTTGTACAGATGATGAGACTTAAATTGGCCCCCAAGACAGGCCTTTTTTAACTTGCTTTTTTACTTAAGTGTAGTTGGTATACAATCTTGTATCCATTATATTGGTTTCAGGTGTACAATATAGTGAGCTGACATTTTCGTACCTAACGATGCGATTCCCCCCACTAATTCAGCAATCACCTGTCACCGTGGAAACTTGTGGGGGAGCTTTGCCTGCAGAGCCCCCCACCTTCTGCCACGGATGAGAATAAGTCCACCAAGACATGATCTGCTTGGGGAGGAAAGGTGGCCAATCTCTCAAAGGAGAAGGGCCAAGAGGCTTTTCCTCAATGGGCTTTTATTGGCTTCAGTTTGCACAGGAATGCAGGTAAAGTTCCTCAGTCATTGTCAGACAGAAAAGATCAAACAATAGATAACATACGAAGAACTATGAGGGCTTATTCTGAGTCATGGTCAGTTAGCTAAAGGGCTGTAAAACTTTGGGAAACAAACTCATTTCATGCTTGGATCCTTATCAGAAAACAGAGGGCATTCTTAGCAAAGCAGGTTTTATAGGATTTTATGTTTCCTTTCTTAGGCCTGATCACCCCCCGGGGAACCCTCCCTTTCCAGCACTGGGCTACACTGCCCCCTGTCATTGTTTCAGGCTTAAGTCAGACCAGGGAAGTAAGGCAGCCAAGAGATTAGGAGAATTCTTGCAGACAGAATGAGGACTCGGGTTATGTCAAAGCTGAGGGGCGAGGGTCCATCAGCCCCTTTTTCTATAGCCCCCAAGTCCTTCTCTGAGGGCCCCTTCATGACCATGCCTGTCTTAGTGTACAGGACCTTGGTGTATCAGGACCACGCTCTAACCCAGTGGTCCCCAACCTTGTTGGCACCAGGGACAGGTTTCATGGAAGACAATTTTTCCACGGACCAGGGTTGGGGGTGGTTTGGGAATAATTTAAGCACATTACATTCAAGCTCACCTCCTGCTGTGTGGCCCGGTTCCTGACAGGCTGGACTGGTACCAGTCCACGGCCCTGAGGTTGAGGACCCCTGCTCCAACTGGCTAAGCTCCCCAGCCAGGGTGAGAAGAAAGCTTCTTCCATTCTTCTCTACCACACCCAACACACAGGCCTCTTTCCCTTCTGTGTGGCCACTGCCAGCAGTACTCATTCAATTCAATTAGCCCAAGGAGTTAGACAGAGTACAGTTGACTGGGGTCCGTCCCAGACTCCTTCAGCCAGCTCAGGGTGCCCTCTGCTCATCAGGTGAATGTGGATTTCCCTTGAGTAAACCTCTGAAGACCACTGGCTGGAGGAGGCAAATGTGGGTTGAGGTGAAATCACTGTGAGCCTGTTATCAACTGCATTCACATTGAGTAATGGAGCACCAGCCAGTGTCCCAAATGCAGAGGAGTGTCTGCCCTCCTGTACAGAGAGCTGGAGTCCGTAGTCCAGGGCTGGGGTGACAGCATCATTGCAGACTCAGGCTCCCTGTCCTCTGCTTGCCTCATGGTCCACGATAGCTTCTACAGCGCCACCCATCTCACCTCCTTCCCATGAACAGTGACTCTTGCATGTGACTTGCGTCATAACTCTTGGACCTGAAGCTTGATGCTGCTCCCAGGTTCTCACCTGGGGCCATTTGCCCCTTTCATTACATTGGCTTCTTAGCCTCAGTGAAGACCCAACTTCCAGGAGCTGCCCTTGGTATTGGCCCACCTAACTGACCCACCCGCCCTTGTGTATGGAGAGAATCAGACCTTCGAGCCACAAACCTGGGAAACTGAACGGAATGAAGGAAGGGCAAAGAGAGAGTCGCCCCATACTTAGGGTCCAGCAGGTGCCTCCATGCAGCCTACAGCGTGCGCCCTGAGGTCGCTGCGCCAGGTGCATTGGGTAGGGTTCTCCAGAGAAGCAGAACCAACGAGATGTGTGTAGAAAGAGAGAAAGAGCTGTATCGTAAAGAATGGGCTCACATGATGACGGAGGCCAGCGA